GTGGTAAAAATCCTTAACGTCAACCCCTGCACATGTAGAATATAGGAATCACATGTGGATCACAACTAAAAGCAAATGTATACGTGTGGCTTTGGAACATTTCGTGTTATAAACATGTGATTCTCATGCTTTCTTCTCAGATTCCTGTGGAAAAACATGTGAATCATGTGTGAAACGTGTGTAGCTTTTAAAATGAAACCTTCTAAATCCACATATGTTCATATGCTCTAACTTGTGATTCACATGTGGTACTGCATGTAAAATGCACATGTGCTACATGGGTTTCACATGAGAAATTCATAGGATTTTTTTTCTGTTAGGGTTTTTAACATATGTGAAAAATTATTAGACAAGTACCATCTAATAACATTCACATGTAATAAAACATTAAATAACAAGTTCCACATGTTATGAAGAAGTGAATGGAATATGAAATGCATGAACAAAATGCTGGATCATATGTGAAAATGTGACCCGCTTGTGGAATATGGGAATCACATGTGAACACTTGTGAAGTTCATGGTCTTTTGTTTAGGAAATCAAAGTTTCTAACCATATTTCAGGACTAAATATTTTGTGCCACGCGCAGAGGGATGTGGGAGTTAGTGACCCATAAAACTGCTGGAGTGGGTGGATTATGGTCGAGTCAAGGTGTGGGAATTAAAATATGCATTAACAGAGTATTTGTTTAAGGTGAAAACTTATGCAACTTTGCTCTTGCAGCTTTTACGATGTTTTTATTGGATATTTTCCATCCAAACTTTCCTGTTTTTTTACTTTGGGCAACTTGAAGATCACACTAAAACTGTGTATTTTGGAAATATTATTAAGTGAGTTAAAAGTGCTGTTCATTAGACTGTGTGCTGTTAAACTCATGCGCTGCTGCAGCAGGGCTCCACCAACGTCCGCCAGCGTGGATGCTGTCACCCACTGCCGTGACTCACCATCGTGACGACACCTTGCACACTCATTCACCCAGCTGACTAATAATGCTGCCCACTCATCTCCACGTCTTCCCCTCTCACTGCAGTTACTCTGGTAACGGCGGAGGTGCCGGCCTGGGTGTCCGTGCTCCCTCAGACTTCACTCAGGCTGCCGCCGCTGCCGTAGCTGCAGCCGCCGCCACTGCCACCGCCACCGCCACGGCAACCGTTGCAGCAATACAAGAGAAACAGAACCAGGAGCTGAGCTACAGTCAGGTAAATGTCTCAGAGGAAACACACAGTTCTTGGAAAAAATATTTTTATTTTAAGAAAAGAGTGTTTTTGTTTTACTCTCCAGTTAAAGATCAGGATGTTGGTTATGAAAGTTTCCAACATCCTGGTTCTGGCCCTGCTCTTTGTTGAAATATTTCGCCGCAGGCTTGGAAATCAGAAGCTGTTTTTCTGCTTCATGCTCACATCAAGTCCAGGACACATGCTTCCCATTACCAGCAGAGACATTGCATAATTTTATACCACCATGCCATTCAAACTAAAAGACCATACATGAGTCACTCTGGAGCTGAACAGGCTGAGCTTTGGGAACTTCAACCAACTCCTGCTGAAATGAAATGCAACATCATATGAAATGTTTAAGTGTCTGCATTAAGACACAGCACCAGCTGCAGTGAGGCATTCACAGGAATCTGTCACTTCATAAATGCTGGAATCCAAGTTTATGAAAACTGCTGCCATCTGGCAGGGATACGGAATTACAGGACAATATAAATCAAAATCATTAATTAAATAAGCTTTAGCAGATATCTAAAGTAATGGTTTAAATATCAAAGTCTGCTGTATCGCAAACCGTCTGCTTGGATGTTAGATATTCTAATCAACCTGGATCTAATGTGAAAATGGGATCCACATGTGGAATATGGGAATCACATGTCAATCACAACTAAAAGCAAATGTATACGTGTGCCAGTTATTTAAATTGCAAGTTTGTAACCTTATTCATGATCGGAAACAAACATTTCTGTGTAAACATTTGTAATTTAACCACAATAGTAATTTACAATTTGAATACTTTACGATACAGAACCTGATTAGCATCATTTAACTAGTTAAAAACTATAAACAATGAAAAACGGTGAGAAACTATGAAATGAGAGCAAGCAGGCAGATATTTATGGTGCGTTTACACCAAATGTGTTTTTTCGCATCAAAAATGTATCAAATGCAAATTAAATTTCCTGAAAGGGAGGATTTTTGTTTTGTTTTTATGAGATTGAGGCAATTTTAGTTGAACAACACTTTTGTTATTTATACAGTTAGAGTTACCTTTTACACTGCAAAAAATAGAAATCTCAATAAGTTATTTTTTCTTAACCCCTAGAACCCTACGGACCCACCGGTGGGTCCAGCTCCTACGTGACCTCGTAATTTTAACAAAACCCCAGTATTGATGTAAAAAACACATTTGGCACAGTTTGGTGACATTTTTGGATAAATGTGCCAAAATGGCCTCTCCGCCTAAGAAATTTCTCACTAATACCATTCTAAAATAAATATGATTCATCTGATTGAGTCCAAATTTGGTATATTTTTACACAACATTTAGATTTAAAAGTCTGCACTACTTTTTCGTGCTATAAATAACATTTTGGTAGTGTTTTGCAATGTTTATTTCAAAGAAAATGTATTTTGTCCCTAATATTTCAGGCAGGGTCAAAGCTACAATGGTGCTGACACCAGAAAACCATTCTATGACATCTTACCTTTACAGAGGTACCAAAAGTTTCTTCTTAAATCTAATAGCTGTGAGGCTATAAGTGATTTACTTTTGTGTGTTTTTGTCAGGCAGAAATTTATTTATACCCCCTGAGGGTGTAAGAGGTTAAAATAAGTGCGTTTTTCCTTGAATTGAGGAGGTAAGTAATGGAACAAGACAATGGAACAAGACAATTTCCTTTTAAAATAAGAAAAAACAATTTTATCGTCTTATTTCAAGTAAATATTATCTAACTATCTTATTTTAAGAGTAAAAATACTCATTCCATTGGCAGATCATCTTATTTACCTGCTCAAATTAAGGGTAAATATACTTATTTTAAGAATTTTTTACTTATTTCTGGATTGTTTTTGCAGTGTAGTTTTGGTGCTATTGGACAAATACTTTAAACCTGAAAGAAGTGGAAAGAGCTATTATGCTTCCTAAAAATGGGAACTAAAACAGCAAGTAGAGAAAGAGAAGAAGGGGGCCCAAAGGAGCCTCCTGAGGGACCCCAGAAGTCAGACAAGCTGTGGCAGAGGAAGTTTTTCCCAAATAAGCAAATAAAATATCGGCCGAATATTAAAGTCTACAGAGAAAAGGGATTTAAAAAAGGCCATTTTCCACCACCAGCGGTTAAAAGAAGGTCATTTTAAACTCTTAGACGGGCTTTTCTGTGCTCTGACGAGAATTAAAACTTCACAGATGTTTTCAGATGTTGTTGGAAGATGTAAAAATCAGAGGTTAATTAAAAATAACTTTTTAAAAAGATCTTAGACAAAAACTGGAATTTGGGAATTGGAATATCTTTGGTGACACACTTCTGTTGGGTCAAGGCATTTCTTTTTCTTTTTTTTTATGATGGCTGCATGTTTGAAAGGAAGCTGGAACAAAGCCTGATGAGAGGAACATGTTGAGGCAACAGTTTGTCCAAGTCTGTGAAATCATTGAAGAGACGCGAGAGAATAGCAGGCAAAGTTTGTTTAAAATCAGCGCTGTGATGTCATACAAGTTTGATCCAAAAGTTCTAACCCAAGTACTTATTTATTATTATTATTTGGTATTATTTATATTTCCTCAGTTCATTCTGAGTTTCATAGGGCTTACAAGACACTTTGGGTTCATGAGACAGAAGGAGATTTTTGCTAAATATGGTGAGAAAAATAAGAATTCTCCTTTTTTTTGTCATGGCAAAAATAAAGGTTGAACAAATAACATGTTTTTAATACATTCTGATTAGTAAAAAAAAGAAAAATACTCTATCTTTTAATGTTTTAAACACTTGTTGTTTCAGATATTAAAAAAGGTTCATAAACCTCCCACCAGTGTTTTAAATAATCTCTGTTTATGTTGGGATTAACCTGGGTTAGAAATTTAGACAGTTAGTGTCAGTCTTTCAGATTTTATCTTTCTGATATTTAAAAAACAGTCCAGACTCATTGTAGAAATAACAGATGAGCAAACGCAAAACGGATAACATCGTTTTTAAAGGCTAATGGTTAGCCAGCAGTTTTCTAATTTCTATAAAGCTAAAACACAACCTAGGCTCCATACAAATACCTAAAATCTGT